AGCAACCAACGAACGAGAAGGAATGCGTGAATATGTCAACACGTTGTTGTAAGAAACGTCGGCATTGTGTCGTCATAATTTCGGGGCTAGCCCCCGATCGGCCCCGATGATTTAGTAAAAGAAACAGAAAACAAACGAGACAAACGCGGCGAGTGGAAGATAAAAGAGAGAATACGATATACAATGAGCAACCGGGGCAAAATCGGCCCGTCGACGTTCGGCGAAGGCTTTGCGAGCGAAAAATGAACCATGTCGGGAGAATATGGCTAGTGTAGACAGTCTGTGCAACCGATATTGAGGTATTTTTCGAATATTTTTTATTATACCGAAAAAACAACCGGGGCATTGCCCCGGTTGGCCCTATTGACGCGCCGCCACTGTGTCGGGCACTAGTTTGGGATATAATTAATCAAAGTTTTATAAATACGCATGTGAGTGAAATGTGAAAACTCTTAATGCAAAATCTTTGAACCAAGCGTTGTTTTTCAGAACCCGATGCTGACTGGAACTCACGCTGATAAAAGAGTTTTTTGGGATGTCGTGGGAATTTTATGAGTTATTTTTTTCGCACCGAAAAAAGAAGGGATTGTATGTATTGAACAGTTTCAAATAAAGAGAATAAATCATTTAACTTTCCGCTATTTATATTAAATAAGATGTCGCCAAATACTCAAATTTTGTCTATAAATATATTGTCATATATATATATATATATATACCACTGAGCACATTGGTCAGAATTTTAGATTAAAAAAAAACAGAAATTGTGTTTTTCAATTTTGTGTTTTTGAAAAATCTGACTTCAACTACAGCAATATTGGATAAAAGTAAAAATTTATTTTAATATTTCATTTAAAAATAGTTTTATATGCATAAGATTAGATAAATCTACATCATGATAACGATAAAAACGCTGGGTCTGCTTTTACTTATCAGCTGGTCAAATGCATTTGATGATACTTGGCTTGTATAAGAATTGAAAACTTATTTCATACACTATGTGCCCGAGACGGGACACATAAATCAATCAGAATCGAAACATCTCAATGGTCTCCGGGGAAGAGAGGACCAGTTGGAAAGGTGAAATAGGCCGGCCTGGACCCGTCGGGCTTCCGGCTATTTTGGATTACAAATGAATTGAAACTGATATAGACGAGAAGATTGCGCCAGGTAAGGTGATATTTCAGTTGGATGAAAGACTGAAAATCACGAAAGACACTGTTCCTGTGGTCGAATACGATGGGCTCAACACTTCGAAAATCCGTATTGCTCAACTTCACATCTGTAACAGATGTACCTTCACAATTAGAAAAGCCTGACTATTTTCGTAAATAATAGCACAATTATATAATACGTGGAGCTGTTGACTTCGTCTTGTTTAAAAATACTAACACCCTTTTCAGTTATCAGTCAATCAACTGCGAACTACAACGCCCTCACCTTGGTGATTGAAAAATTGGAGGAACGAATAAAGATTCTAGAAAGCAGAGAAAGTATGCAGAAAAATGCAACAGAAATCTTTAAAACAGTACATGGCTGCGTCCATGTAGACCTCGGTCAATAAAAAAACTTCCAATCGAAAATTCGTCTTCTGAATAATCTTTGTAGTAGGCTAAACATTGATTCTTTGTTATCCCCTGGTTCCGATTTTTTCTATTTTAGTTCTATTACGGGTTCGGGGACTGTCTGTGTCAGCCAAGTAAATATACCGCCTTCCCATAGGTTTCATTCCCTTCACACAACTTGATATTAGGTAGGGTGATATAATTAGTTACCTCCATATTGATACTCACACTTTTGAAGCGCCGAATCTTCTACATAAGCCCATGCCCGCTTACAATACTTGAGAGAAAAATCACCACATGTATTTTCCCATATTATTCAGGGGCCTGTGAGATAAAGTTCGATGGAAAATGCTACTTGGTAGAGAGTCTTGATCAAGATGTGACAGGCTATGACAGATGGGAAGCTACATGTGCAGAACGGAATGGCTCACCAGCAAATATTTATTCGGAGAAACATTACAATGTCATCATGCGATACCTTCGAGCGAAAATATTTGCAATGATGAATGTGATTCTTTTATGGGTGGGAATGCGAACAAATCCAGCTGGTAATATATTTATATATTTTTTCAAGTCAAATTGTTAAAAATGTTTTAACAAAGTCTGCATTTATAACAATTTTTTACGTTTCTTGATAATTTTGACCTGATAATCGGTTTGTAATTTTGTATTCCTGTTCCTATTGTTACCGTATGAGATAAATCGCCTTTCTTTCTTCGACTACCGGAGCAAATTCTTTTTGATTGAATATTGTTTTTGTCCCTAAAGCGCTATTACTGTTATTTATTCCTAACTTTTCTATGAATCCCATGAGATCTGATATTTCATCCAAAATTTCACTGTATTAATATTTTTTAATCCGCCAAACATGACGGCCGTCTTCCGTTTTGTTTTTACGAACCTGTGCTACGCGAAAGGTTATTTGATACCGGTACGCACTGTAGATTAGCTAGTAGCAAACCTTCTTCTAATTTTGCGCAGCGGTGCGTTAAATCTCGTTTTTGTGCTCATTAAAAGATGATGTGACAGTTTTGTGCTTATTGAAGGGTAGTAGTGTAAAACATGGGCGAGTCCAAAATTCCACACAGACAACAATGAGTTTATAGATGGGCTACGGATGGAATACATCACGATAAGCAGTAAATTCAAATATATTTTACGGCAATATAAGATTTTTCTTAAATGTCCTTTTTCTTAGATGTTCTTAGATTATAAACAGAACAAGGCTTAGGTTTGAGTTGTGTGATTAACTCGAGGTGAACTCTTTAAGATTATATAATCAAATCAAATGCCTCTTGAGGTGAAGAGAGTGCTGCTGGGCTTTGAAATTTAGCTAAATTAGCTTTTTTCTCTATACATAATTTTTCCAAATAGGGCCATTTTCGCTACGAGAATACCCTAGGCCTAGATTATAGAAAAAAAGTTCAGGTTCGAGTTGTGTGAAAAACTTCAGGTTTAATATTAAATAATCAAATCGGATGCCTCTTGAGCGAAAGGGAATGCTGCCGGGCTTCGAAATTTGACTAAATTAGCTCTTCTCGCTATACGTAGTTCTGAAATTAAGGATGATTAGGTTCGAGCTCCGTGAATTCCAGGTAAACCTCTTTAATATTAATTAAATCAAATCGGATGCCTTTGGATCTGAAGGGGGTGCTGCTGGGCTTTGAAATTTGGCTGAATCATCTTTTTTTCGCTATACGTAATTTTTCCGAATAAGGACATTTTCGCTATGAGAATACCCTAGAATACAAAATTAAGAAGGCTTATTTTTTCTTATGGGGTTACGCTGACTCCCCTATTCTTTAATCGCGTCTTCCATCTCCTCTGTTTTGTTGTACTGTACAAGGGACTTGCTTCAGGAATTGCTCATCTGCTATTTTGAAGGAAGTTGAATAAAATTCGTTTCCCTTTTTCTGTTTTTTCATTGTTTATGAAGAAATTTATTTTTTGCTTTGTAGATATTAATTTATCCTGAATGATGAATATCTTTCCATTGATGTTATGCTAATTTCGTTTTTCTGCATTATTTCGGATGTAGATAATGACACGCCTCCATTTCAGCTGTCAATATTCACCTTTCCGCTTCGCCGCACACAAAGGTCAAATTGCTACTAGCAGCTTCACAGTGGTCTGTAGTGAGTAGACAAGGTACTAATATGCGGTAATCTACTCCGTGTCGATATATATTTGAACATCGCTCTCTTGTTGTTTACTATTAGAGATATATTTAACGAGCGTTTGTTGAATACCAATTTTATAATTTGTGATCACATTGTAAGAATGTCCAGCATACCATACCTATACTATAGCAAAATCTTGTGTATATTTTACCTGTCTCTATGTTACCGGTATAAAGCAAAAAATTGCTTGACTACTTTATATTTTTATCTATTTCATGAGGCATTTTTCTTGGAGCTCATGCTTCAAAACACATATCCAAATGTATAAAGGTTACAAAGTCTACTTCTAACGGTGTAGGAAACCAATGCACAGCAAATAGTTCAGTATCACACGCCAGCACGCGAGTTTAGAATCTCATTGTTCAAACATATGAATTGAAGCTATAAAGCAATATTCGTATTGGAAACGTTCGTATTCGCCACATCACCCCAAAGACTATACGTTGAATCAGTACTCGTTTAACCAACCCCGTGTAACTCCCGATATTTGGTCCCGATGTTGGATTCGCCGTCACGCCCGACTATTACGACGCTCGACAGATTATGGATTCCGAAATCATCGTGCGTTTTCCTGTGTTCTGACGATGTTTTCTCGCTACAAGATTAAGTGAGTGACTTTATAAATATCCAAATTAGTTGTGCATCAACATTAATAAAGATTTTATTATAGAATGCAGATTACAAAACAAAAAGAATAGCAATCATTTGAGAGGGAAGGTGTGTGGGCAAGTGTCAAATATATAAGGCAAGTACACGGCGGTTTTGGAGGAGGTAGAACCCTGGGGTCTTCCATTTCCGACCTCTTATTCTGACTTTACATTTTTTTTGTAGTGCCGGGGGGCGATGAAGTTGTATAAACTACTGTAGGGGGGCGATGGTACAAAAAAGTTTGGGGACCACTGCGACATAAACGATGTCAGAGCCAATAGCTGCATAACCGTACACAGCGGTGCAGACACGCGTCCATGGGTAGGGGTTTTGAAAAGTATCATACCAGCCTGGAAATTAACTATTTGAAATTTGAATATGAGCGATCGCAGCCCTGACTGCCCAACGGACGTTACATTATAATATTTCAGTTATTGTTAGATTAGTTTAAGACTGGTTTTTATCAATTTTTACCAATGATATATATATTAGTATTTTTTTTGTTTTATTCGTGCCTTGGCAGATCACTTATAAAACGCAGTGGTTCGCTATCCCTGATCTATCTCACGACTGCTTGTCAACTAAATAGGTATGTGCAAAGTGAAAGTCCGAATTTTTCATATTTGTATTTGAGACATCATTATAAATACTAGCATCAGCGATGAAATGAAATATATTATATAATATTTTATATATAAGTAAATCAACACTTCTCTAAAAATACATTTACATTGACTCATAATCCCGCTGTTTTTTTTTTGTTCATATTGTAACAGGTCACTCAGAACAAGGATCTTGACAAGCAGCCAAAAGCTTTATAAATCAACGAATGTATACTAAAAATATTTTCATAACATTGAGTGGACACATGCAAATTAGGCATTTTTCAAACGAATTCCCGTTGCCGCTGTTTTGTAAAAAAAAATATAAAGAAAATGTCTTTGAAGCGCGGAGAAACTCCATTCTCTCAATATTTTCACCAATGCAATTATGCGGCCCGATTTCCACACAGGATACATATCTTCTGATACAATTTCCAATTCAGATATTAATGAATCGCGTAGACACACGCAGACACACATTGCTTATTGTATACTGGATTCGTGATCCGCTTTCAAATTTAACTTTTCATCTTATGTTCCGTCATAAGAAAAATTGACTAAAAATAGCCACGAATCCCAGATTCAAAAGTATGACGAGAACAATCAAAAATGATCGATTCTGAAATAGAAAATATTATTAATTTTGATTTTTGAATAATGGAATATCGTTTAAGAAATAAGTTTATTCTAGCGACCAGTGAGTGACACATAGGATCAGCAGGTGGCCCGTGAGAAGTAATCATATGCGAGAGGATGGCTGGTTCACAAACCGCTGGTGGGTTAGGCGTCCCTCAACTACCAAGTCCATACATCTGAAACAAATAGTTGGTTAACTATACTCGGATATGGACTAGTAACCAGACAAGAGGCCGTGGTTTGTCAGATGATTAAGTCGTCATATAAGGTTTTCTCTCCACCGCGATAAATATGATTCGTATCCTATATTCGTGACAGCGTTCCTCAATTTTCAATATGCCACTCGTTAGAGGATGAGGTATACCAATAAAATTAATTATGTGACGTTACATGATCGTCCAGATATCCATGGAAAAAATTACAGGGTTCATGACCTTTGACACAGCAAATTGAACTGCAATATACTTAGAGAAACTCACTGAATCATTTTCTTTGATTGAAGGCGATCTTTCTAAACTATATCTCTTTGCAGCTGGAATTTGTAGCTGATTCTGTCGAAATTTACTAGGAAGAGGAGAGTATTTCCTACTGAGATCTTTTTCTGAAATGTGTTCGTTTTCATCCTGGTAATTGTTAATAAAAATGTTGAAAAAAATTTAGATAGCAAGATAAATATTTTTAACCATAGTTAAAACGTTTAAATTGCCTTCAAATAACATACAGTACTAGTATACGCGCAGAAGTAACTATTAAAATATAAGAAATTGTAATAACAAAAACAAGACATAGGCTGCACAATTTATGAGCATATTAGTGATTGGCGGAAATTTTTTCAAATGCATTCCACTGTGTCTTGTGATTTAGTCATAATAAAAGTCAATATCCAAACGAAATATGACAAGAACGACAGCGTTTGTTGTGAATAATGTACAGAACAAGAGCGAAATTTAAAGTCATCTTTATGTCAAACGTTTTGCCAACAAACTCCGATCAGATTACATATATAAATAACGGTTTCGTATTGACTTGAAGCTTATCTTGCGTCGATCCACTGAAGCATTATGTACCGCAAAAAATTTATATTGTTTTAGTAGCTCTTGACGTTTAAGTGGTCGCCATACCTTCGATAGAAGATGCGCCCCCCTTCATTTTTGTGCTGTAAAAGCGACGGCTGTATAAGTCATTTCTTTTTTAACCTAATTTATCTTAAATTTAGACGAGTCGCTGCTCTAGTTGAAATCCCAACATGGTGGTACACTAGACATGAAACACATCATATAAAAAAAACAGGTTATACTCACGTCCTGGCGAGAATAAATATTTCGAAGTCTTCTCCGCGCCATGGTATCGGAAGACGCTTCAGATTCTGCCTTTGTATTATAGTTTGCAAATGCGGGAGCAACTGGCTCTGCTCCCAATGTTTTTATATGTTCGGGCCTTCTTTGTAGTTTGCTATTTTCAATTATGGACGGACTTAAATGTTGTTGATCACTATCTTGCCTAGTTAACGTGGTCGAAGGACCCACAGTTGAATTATTATTTTCTACAAATCCTTGACCTTCCTCGGAAGCTACGGTAATTTGAATTTGAGGCTGAGTGTTCAGTGGCTCCCGAAAAGCTGTATCGTTGAAAGACTGGTTATAATAGTTTTTCTGCACAAATCGGTCTTGTGCTACATTCTTTTCGACTCCATATTGGGCTATTTCTGGGTTTAATGCTTCTGTATGGGAATGAAGCGGGGCTAGTGGCAACATTTCGCTCTCATAACTCGTTAGGTATTGTTCTTTAGACACATTTCCAAGTTTTGGAATAGCTTTTTCTCTTTCAAAATCTGGTGTGATATCGTTCCTTTTGTCAGGCATAGAGCGAGTCCTTTTCCAAGCGTTTCTTTTACCCTCAGCTGACCTTTGTTCCCACAGATCTTTGTCAGCTTTGTCAAAATCGTCCGTTGACACTGAAGCAAATGATGATTCGGTGGAAGTCCGCGAATGACCAATTTTAAAACCGCCACCGCCCTTTTTCGGTTTGTTTATAAGCGAACGGAAAAAACCTTGTTTCGGCGCGTTAGATTGCATATAGGGTTTTGTACCGTTATGTGTCTTCAATGATTGAATATTGCTATCAGCTTCTGTTATATCGCCGTCAACTTGAGAATTTAAAGATCGGTTGCTTCGTGATAGATTTGGAGAATGAGCAGCACTTTGTGGCGACAAATACATTTTATTTGCAGGAGCAGGCGACGCTCTGCCGGGAGACGGTGAAACTTTGGTCGAAGAAGCATCCTCGTCTTTGTTTAATTTGCTTTTGCTACCAAATAGGGAAAGACGCCTTAAACTGACGCCTTGTTTTCTAAAGAAACAAACATGAATCAGAATGGAGTGAAAAAAAAATGAAGAAATTTGCCCCCGAAGTATGTGCACCAAAATGGTGCACAACCTGAATCTTGGTGCACATACTACTGGAGCTCCGAAATTTGGTGAAAATTAAAACTGCCATGGTTACTAATAAATGTCTTCTAATGTAAGATTGAACCTAGAATTCAAATTTTAAAGAAATATCATATTATGGATAATCAAGGAAATTTCGGAATTAAAAATATTAGATAAATAATAAAAAAATGAGAACATCCGGAAAATTATAAAGGGCTTATTCACAAAATTTAGCGTACTCAACAGGTGTAAAAATTGTACAGTCCATCTTGCCCAGGGGTGTGCAACAGTCAGCCCGCCAAGCTATTCAGTGTGGCCGTTGTCAACACAGTTGATGTTAAAAAAAAGGTGCTCACAAGAAAAAAAAATACGTAAAAAGTTATATCTTTTGTCGTTTTGCCCGTTGCCTTTATTACTGTTAGGCTAAGCGATGGCCGCCATTTTCTTTTCATGTCAATGACTAAGAAACATCTGGCCATGCAGTTAAGCGTTGCTATAATTCCTGTCAAAGCGGATGCTAACAAACTATAAATGAATAAAATTTTGCATTGTGAGGATTTTTAATTCGATGTATATATTGAGGATATTTGTTTCTATACGACGCCAAACATATTTATATGCTATGTTTCACAATTTTTCAAATACATTTCCTTATGAGTTTCCATTAACCCCTAACCCCTCACTTCTATTAGGCGATAATCAATACTAACCTTCCTAATGTGTTTTCCTGTCCAGGTGAATTTGATCTTGATATTTCATTCGGCAAATTAGTAATATCCACACTGGACCTATTAACAACCGGTGATTTGTCTTGTTGATCGGTGCTATAATAATAATAATGCCAATATGTCATCGAACCACTTTATTCATAATTATATTACCCAAGGGAATATTCTAGGAATTACTATAAAAAAAATTGTGATATATACCATAGTTTTAAAGTAATTTAACATATCCTTCAATATATTTCCCTGGCCTGATTGCAAGATTCACTTTAATCTACCGAATGTTTTAAAACGACTGGGTCATATTAAGGCCGTGTGCTTAAAACAAATCCCGTCGCCTATTGATTGGCAACTTGTCAATTTCAAGCAAGAAATGTAAGAGTTAATCCACGCCTGCAATGAGAAAGATGCTTATAATGTGACGGTTTATCATCACCTGAACTGATGGTATGATTCAGGACCAGCAACGCCACTTAATCTTTCTCTGTTCAGGTTGTAATCTTCAGCATGTTCCATATCTCGAAAAGGATCTTCTCCCTTTGCCAATAGATACGTCAAACCTGCGGTTTTAAAAGACATTTATTACAGAAAATGAAATCCGGTAATGGTTATTTCTGTTCTATACGAATGAATGCTAGCTTACCCGGTTGATGAAAATCGGGGGCCAGGTCCTTGGCAACACATCGAGCAATTTTTGCTTCTTCTCTGGAGTTGTGCGCCGTGATTTCAGCTTGTTCAGATTTAGCAATACCATGCCCCGTTCTATTCAAACAATAACAATGATAAAATATTGATAGTAGTATGACTGTTGGGCATTAGAGGTTGTTTTACAGGAAGTAACAACCTATAGAAACACTGATCAAAACAAAACAAACCTGGTTAGGATATATTGAGAACTGACTTTATAGTGATGTTTTGATTGTAACAGAAATCCATGAACTGTGGATTCTTTCCCAAAGCATGCCAAAAAGCCCAACAAACAAGAAAATAACACTCGGCATATTGTTTTCCACAGTACAATCGCCTTAACCATATGCGACTACCAATGCTCACATAACAAATACAATCATTTCAAAGCATTTGAATATACTTTATTATTGTATTGCCTAAGCAGCTAAAATGTACATCTTTATTTAATAGTTGAGTTATCTTGGGATTCGTTACCACCAGACATCCATAACTCAATTACATCGAAGAATAAAATATTTATAGCTCAGTCTAATCTCATAACGTAAATAAACATAATATCCACGTTACCTCGAGGTCGCAATTTCTGCTTTTTGCTTTGCAACTTCCATTGCTCTTCTAGCTTGTTTCACGCTGGAATCTACCTTTTCTTTCACTTTTCCTGTTCTCACGCCGAGCATGTTTTTTCTCCTAGATACTGCAATCACGTTGTTTTTGTATTTTCCTTCTTCTCTTGTTCCATCAGGAAAAGTAGTGCATCCGTATCCGTGTCGCTGGTTCCCCAACCATTCTCCCTGGTATCTAAAACCGTCTGTCCTTTCGCATATTCCATATCCTAATATTGCGAAATTAATTTAATATGATTAATCACATAATGGAGTGGAATAACGACAAAGAAATGTGGTAATATGGTTAACTAGTACATAAGATATAATCTTATTATGAGTGAATAACAAATAGGCCGACTTTTAATTTATTACCGGCAGCATATTACTAAACTGGCCACAGCCGGACTATCTTCATTAAATAATAAAGAGTTTTTTGTTCAACTTTTGCCATGTCTAAGGTAAGGGGTATCCCTCATTTAAACCAACTCATTCGAGTAAGAATCTTGTCAGGATTGGTCAATAGAAAAACAGTTCAGCTGTACTATTCGGTTAACTTTATATAATAAGTGTGAATGGTGATGCGATTTTAATTATCCTAGTGCAGTTTTCACAGTTTCATTATCGAGTTTTTCAGTATGGAGTATATATACATTTGTACTGGTGTTGTGTGTTGAATGACTTTTTATAGATTGTTTTATGTAGACATTTCTTCATCGCCGATATCTTTATAAAGGTCACGCTTCATAAAGGCTATCAATAATTCCAATCGTATTTGTGGTATGTTGCAAATATATAATCTAATATTATGGGAGTTGTCAACTACGACGACAGATGTATGCACGGTGACCTCTGACACGTCACCTTCTTTTACACTCTCAATATACATGTTGATGCATTGCCGGTGAATTCGAATGCTTTCTCGTTGGCTGCGGAACATTATGTCTTGAAAGGCTATATTAGGCACAGAATTTCATGAAACATCCAGGTTATCCAGTACCTTGTATACGGATTATGAACATAATTTTTCAGAGTACTTTTTACAAAGGCATACATAAAAAATAACACTTACTGGTTAATTACTGGGTTTCAAAAAATAGTGACAGGTGCCAGTACACCGCTGTTTTTGACAGTTTAAATTGATAACACTCTAAATTTGGGTTTGCCTGCTCAGATTGTGTTTGCAATATTTTTAGATTATACTATGTCTTTTATTGTATGGCTTAATTACCACAAAATGTTATTTGTAAAACTTGATACCAGAAGAAAAAATTTTCGACCCAGGATGCAAAAAACGGAAACAGCGATTCCCATGATTCATTCTATGTACATAACATTTTTAAAACTTCAAAATAAATATTAATGTTTTTTATGAACGTTCTGTTTTAGTGTTTCTTTTACCTCAACATGTAAGGTATAATATGCAATTAGTAGCTAACATTCGAGTTCTATTCAGAAAGGCTATGTATGGATTTTGTGAGGCATCGTGGTACAGTGTAATATTTGTATTGAAAACTTCCAAGTGTAAAAATGTACCAAGTTGTGTACCAAATACACGATTATCATAACCAACAATAATAGTTTTTCTACAATATGAAACAAATAACTTGTAAACCTTCTCGTTTATCGTTTTTCCATTCTCCTCGATATGTTTCAATCGTATTCATATCTATGTGATCTTCGATAGTCGAAAGCTGTAATGGATCCCCAATTTCACTTATGTCTCCGTATACTGATGATCCATACTCGCTGCTACTTCCCATGGAGCCAGCAAAATCGCTGCGTCAAAGTAAAATATAAGACAGAAATTACACGGGCCTTTATAGATTATTGAAAATTAATTTACTTATAACTTTAATATCGCCTTTTAGACAGTATGGCGTACAACTAGAATTACACGATAAAAATTATTCGTTTTTCATAGCTATTTTTACCCACAATTACCGTAAACTCGGAATATGTAAGACGTTCGTATTTTGTGTCACGAATTCGCCGTATATCAACGGTTTACAATATTCTGAAACGAAACATTTTTTACGCTGCGAGATTCTTTATGTGCACATGAATCGATTTAATTTCCGTTGCTGTCGACATGCAACACAAAGCAAACACCTAAATCCGCAGCATAAATATACGCTTGGAGGTTGTAGAACCGTATATTGCATATCAAAATGCAAACCAAGAATTGATGATTTCTCTCATACCCAGTGTGCACGAGTTCTGATATCCGATCAGAATCTCTTGAATTGATTGAGAGATGTGAAAGTTTCTAACTTAGCCCTAATTTCAACCTCCACCTCATTAACCCACAAAACACATTCCGAAGCTATTTATAACTCCATTACTATTTGATAAATTATAATGTGACGTGATAACATATAAAAAGCAATACTGTTAATTACATACCTCCGATAAGACAACCCGCTTTTAACAGAGCTTGCTTTACTGGCGTTACTCGCTATTGATGCACTTGATTTTGACCTCATTTTTAGTCCAGTGGATAGAGATCTTTTCAAACTTCCGCTTTTGAAAAAACTCTTTTTCTTCAACGAAGCCGGGGTGGAAGAGACATCCCCCTTCGTCGTCAAAACAAACCCACCTCGAGACCCAAGTGGGGCGTCAGTCGCTAAAATTTTATAAATAGGTTATAATTAATTTAATGTTATATTTTGAGTATATATTCATAGGTTGTCGGTTCATGAGTAGTGTAGTCAGGAGTAAAAGATAAGCAAAGTAGAAACTAGGCTGGTCAGTGATGACCATCCCGTCAAAGAGAGAGATTCATAGGTTGACTAAGTTATTCATCTTAATTTTTTAATTATTGGTGTGAGCCAGGGTAACTTATTGAGTCCACATTTGTACATGGTCTACATAGATAGCAGTTTTTAAAAAATTCTTCAGCCAGTGCTAGTCTGTCAGAACGTTAAATTTTGAGCATTTTCCATACGCGGATAATAATGGAAAGAAATTACAACAGAGTGTGGAAGTTCAACATTTTTATAAGTTAAAATTAGATTTAAAAACAATTTTATATAAACAACTTCTAGTTTTCGTTTTCGTTTCCATATGATATGGCTATTTCTCTCTGGTGGCAATGATTGCAAAAACTAACTCAGCGGTTCCCAAACTATGGGTCGCGACCCATTGGTGGGTCGCAAAAGGAATCTTAGTGAGTCGTGAAAAGATGTAGAAAGCTTTGATTACTTATACTGGTTATTAGGATCGGTGGCGAATACGTAAATCTTCAAAGAAAACATTGAATTTAAATTGAATTTACATTCTAATCTGTGAAAGTTTCCCTTTTACGATCTTCTCAAAGGAACAAAAATTTGCTACACAAAGAATGACCGTGTGGGTTTTTTTTACGCATAGCAGTTTTGTACACCGTACAGCACTTCTTACCGTATTTCCACGAAATTTAGACAGGATTTAGGTGTGTTTTTTTTTGAAGAATAACACAATGTTTTTTTTTTGGAAGAGGTCTTTTGAGTTCATTTATCAAAAATAAAATTACATTGTAGAAAATCACGAGATTTTTTAATAAACAATATATAAAAACCTACATCAATTGTTTTTATTTCTATTTCCTATACAAAAATCAAGGGACAAATATCATAAATATGATGTGACATCACACAATCGTGAATAGTGGTGTGATCTTCACCTTTCCTCAGGTCATTGAACTTTCCTCTCCCACACATTCAAAATTTATTGGACACGTCAGTGAACATAACGATCGTTTCAATATTAGGTTGTCGTTATTGTTATTCTTCTTCGTCATTATCATGAAAAAAATCGCTTTTCTCTTCGAATACTGGACCAATTGCTTTGAAATAGGACTTCAAGAGATTCGTTTTTTATGAGTCAGAATAAAAAATAGCGACGCCTTGTGACGTGTTCATATATTTGAGCTTAGCTCTCTTGTTTTAAGGGTATAAGGTTTGATTAAAATCATTTTTAAAATTCAAATTAGGTCTTATTTCAGGCCAGGTCTTATTTTCGAGGAAACGCGGTAGTTTTACGATGATTAGCCATTGCTGTGTTCTGTGTTATGTCATAAAAAGTTAAATGGGTCGCCATAAGCTGTGGTAATAAATAGTGGGTCGCAACTCTAAAAAGTTTGGGAAACACTGTTATAGATCGTTGAAATTGGGGCGACTTCTGAAAATATGGAAATCTATCTAAGCCTGTTGATGATCATTCTATGTTTCCGTAGTAATGATCTTAAAGTTCAGTTACATCGATGTATTTTATATTAGAATTTCAGTCAATAATTCAAACTTGTTTTTTCTATTATTCCACGATATAAATTTAAATACAACACCCATCATCTCATTGTTTATTCACATATTAACTTTCAAAACATATATATATATATATCGCCACGCTAATAACCGAATTGCGTAAGTCCTTTTCGGCGATTTTGAGTTTTTTATAAAATAGGTATTTGTGTAATGCTGCGCATCTGTCTGTTAACTCAGATTTTATTTTAAGAATTCCGAAACCCATAAAAATGGAGATTTAATATGGCATGCACATTTGTGCAATTGTTTCGTCATAATGAATTATTATTAATATTATTATTTTGCGTATTAATTTGAATTTATACTACAGTATAGGAAGGCGTGCACTTGTGATATTCACTGTCCGAGTCCAATTCACCTAGGTTGGCTTTTATATTGGGTGCATTGCTGTTTTATTCTTTATATTTATTCTTAGTCTTATTTCGGTGGGTGTGCAGATCGTGTTATCTTATTGAAATATATATTTTTAAACATAAAAAATAATGTAATTGAAACTGATTAGCTATTTTGGGGATTAGACATTGTAGATACTGAAAATTACATTCGTTTTTGGAATGTTTAGTTTTCAGGACTGGTGCATATAGTAAAGTTGCAAAATTGCGTATGTCCCCAAGTCATAGACACATTTCTGCCTAAGTCACAGTGCGCCATTATGATGTCACTTAACTGCGTCATACAAATCAACTTAAATCCGGCTACGATCAAAAAATTGAACCATGGCAAATTATTGACTCTCAATGGCATAACAATATCATTAGGAAGTTTTTTACGTTTTTCTCAAAACTGCTAAAAATGACTTACACAATTCTGTTATTAGCGTGACGATATCTATATATATATATATATATATATCATTACAGGCACATAATTTTTTAATATCTCGAAATATATGAAACCATTTCGATTTTTGATAGAATCTTGTTTTCAATTTATTCCATATATATATATATAATTCTACAAAGCCCGAATTTTTTTGGTAATATTGGTTCTACTCAACCGATGGATGAAGATGAACAATTGAAATACACTTATAGTTTAACGGACAATTCCTTGCCTTGTATACTTTCCCAAGTCTCCAACGAATAGAAGTATCCACATCTATGGGTGGGGTAAATTTGACATTAGACTGATCAAATGCAATGTATTGCTAGCAGGAAAGCAGGAATATCCTGTCAGCCTAAGTTACTTTAACTTGTTCATGAATAATTCAAGAATTATCTTGAAAGAACGAAACGGTATCATGTGTACGTGTGCTTGCATGTCTAATGGAAAGGCATGTATATATATATGTAAAAGTACCCAAAATTAATGTCAGATATGGTTTTGGTTGAGTAATAAATTGCTATTGTTTGGTTTTTCAATAAAAAACGCAATCTTAATCAGTGTTGTCTGTTCCTGAATTTGTAACGTCGATTTAAATGAGACGATTTGGATTCGACGAACAAACGCAGCTGTCTGTTGGCGAACGTCACGTGTTGGACCCAAGGGAACCGCATAAGCGAGCAACCAAATGCTGTGAAGGAATGAGAATATTCTAAAAAACCCTATTCGGATAGAACTGTTCATTCTACATAGTAATGCCATGTTGCATCCGGCACATATACATACTAACGATTACATGTAGATTCCTAATCGATCTTTGTCATAAAATGTATTTCGGGAAGTTACTATTTTATCAACATGGGTACATGTATTGGATTTTTATGATGATGTAAAGCTGTTTTCTAATTAAATACAAACCAACCCAAATATTTTAAACTCGCAGATGACCGTTATATATATATGTATTTTACCAATTGCCAGTCATCATCAACAGTGCATAAGAGGCTTTGTGCACAGATGAACTTTCAGTCAAATACCATTTTTTATAATATTTTTATGTGTTATTGAACCCAAATTCTAATGTAAATTTACCATAATGTTTTACTATTATCGTATTCCAACTTTTTTGCATCAAGTTACAATTCATCACAAGAAAAAACTTGGTAGATATTTTCGCGCCAAATGATATGAGTCAAATAATTTACTCTAGGCTGAGGAATATTCACAATATAATTGAAGCAGCACATCTAATGCTGAACGAATTAGAAAGGGTACTATGAATGAAAGTGTGAATATGACTTACTAATGTCGTTGTGTAGAACTGCTACATTGCTGTGTTCGCTTCGCAAAGAAGTAAGAGATGAGCGGAGTGGATTTCGAACAACGGATGCCATCCCATACGGCACACTTTGTCGAATTCCATATCCGTGGCGCATTCCACCCATCCATTGTCCTTGATAAGTACCTGTAAAATAAGATTGCATACATTATTGTTAAAGCCTGTTTAATAAGCACAAAATTTGAACATTAATTGAATGACCACATCAGATTTTATAATGAAGAATCCAAAGGAATTATGTAATTAGGTCTTTGACATCGATTCTCAGTAAAGTCAGTAAAAGATAGTTGGTTAAATGATCAATCAATTATACTACTTGAAGGTAGCATATACCAAACCAGTGAAAAACTTTAGCTATCAGTAACAGGCTCTCAGAATCATTAAATCGATTGATCTAATATCTACCCTTTCCCAACGCGCTCGTAACGTAACTTTGAACACGCGAACGGACCAGCATTGTCAGCTAGGTAAAGCTATGATAGAGAATCAGAAAATAAATTAGTACTGTAAGCCTTTACGCTTAGCGAAGGCTATCGCAATATTCGCGTGTCTGCATGCTGAAATATTCAGCATTCACTAGGGATTAGACAGAATAAATCATAAATGCCTGTAATGTAATGAATGACTGCTTGTACTATTAATATAATGAGAAGTTTCAGAACTGTTATTCCAGCTTGTTGTTCAAGAATACCGTTTAAATTTTATAAGCTTCTATAAATGGATACAACATGATTTGTCGCGAGTGTTGATGTCATCCAGATGAATGTTGTAGCAAGATAAGGAAATATTTGCTTCATTCACTGACGAGTCGTGCGTTAATGGGCTCTTATCAAAACGTTCGTCTTGGATCAGTCAAAATTCCACGTGTAGTGAAGTTAAATGTGAAAAATGTGGTTTACTGAAAGTTTCCACATAACTTTCATAGGCGGACAACACAAACAATCGTTATTCATGCCAATCAAAAGCGATTTCAAAATCCGACACGATTGTTAAAATCGCGTCGATTAATCGGACATTCAAAATGTCCAATAAAGTCCCCATAAAACGACTGTAACAATGTCCACAATAATAGTTTTCATCGCTTGCTGATATTGCTTTATCACAATGATTTTGTAAGGCCGTCCTGCACATGTAAGTCCAGGTGAATCAATTCGTCTAAACCAGTGTTTCCCAACCCGAGTCCGCGGTCTCAAATGAGTCCGCGGAGCGTTGAAATGAGTCCGCAACGAGACAGAAATTCACAGCGGGCCGCAAACGTTTTTGCAAAACTTGACCATTAGCAAAGTTACGATTTAGGTTATATTTTACATAAAATATAAAAAGCAAATTTATTCATATACCATTAATCGAGTCAATAATTACTGGGTACTGAGTAGGGCTGGGCATATATTCGAATATTCAACTATTAGAATAGCAATCTACTATTCGAAAATTTGGTAACAGGTGACGTGACAGGCCACTTGCGCGTCGCTTAATCAAACGATTGGAGTTCACAACTTACTTGCGGATTTCCGACGAAAACACGAGTCGGCAACGCGTGGATAGATATCTAAGTGGCGTTTCTCGCGAGCTCGAACAACAAGGAATAATTTTCTTTTCTGGTAGGTGTCAATGGTGGCAACCTGAATTTTCTAAATTGAAAAGCGGCAATACAAAATACTAATAAAAATAAAACGGAAAACACCATAAATTAAGTTCTATGATGGTCCTCGACCGATTAAAAACGCTTTTTTCGACATTGTGAATCACAAAATTTCGGGTGCTACTGAAGTATTCGTATCAGGGCATTTTCCCTTAGGATTCTCTGCTTTACTGCCTCCACATTGGTACTGGAGCGCCGTGAGTGTTATACAAACAGCTCAGGATTTGTTGAATTCACAAAAATACGAATCAAAACAACATATAATCGGGCACTTTACCACGCATTTTTGTGTCCACGGATTGTTATGATATTTCCTGAGTAGTATTGCTTCTATTTCGTCAACACAACCGCAGAATAAATTATTACAATTAAATTAGTATTAAAGAAAGGCGATTTTTTATTTACTAATATACTTTAATTATATTTTTAATCAATACTAAATCAAGTTGTACTTTCTGGAAATTCATAGCAGATAGTAGGATTTTTCTAACAGCGATAACAAATTCGCAAGATCGCAAAAAATATGTATCAAAACTAAATATAATCGGGCAATATATTCTCACATTATTATGTTCGCAGATTGCCGTGGCATTAGAGAAGTAGTGCTTTCATCTTGTCATAAGTCGACGCAACCGCGAGTGACCATGAACACAACTAAATAAGAATAGAAAGACATTTTATATTCTCGTCGTTGTCATGGATTGAATATTATGCGACAGAAAAGGTCATTCATACGCTAAAAAGTTAGCTCTATCAACAAACGCGCAATTGCGGCGAATTTCCGATTTTGAAATTCGTTAAAATTCTGTTCTGTTTGGTTTTATTACTTCTTCACGCAGAGTACATTTGCAATAAACGCACGTTGAGTCCGCAAAGGCTTTCGCCGGTGAGAAAATAGTCCGCGACCAAAAAAGGTTGGGAAACGCTGGTCTAAACTGTAAATGGTTTGGTTAGCGCTGTTGGCTGTGCCCTTTAGCGTGAATTAGATTTAGCAATACGTCTCAGAAGATATACAGTTATATGAGTTGGAAATTTTCTACATTTATAAAACATCCTGGTTTCTGCTTAATATTGTTTTGCTATTGATGCATTTTACCGTTTTTTCAACTTTAAATACAAAATGTCAGCAATTCGGAAAAAGCAGGAACTCGCAATTGACTTGGTAAAGGTTCTAGAACTGTAGATAGGATGGAGCACAGACAACTCAGTGATTTAATGCCCCTCTAAAATATTTTTGTTTCAATTTGAAGAGTTGGGAGAAATTGATTAAAATGAAAATATCATAACTTACTAATAACACTACTTGCCCCAAGCACTGGTACAGTTGGTTGATGCTTTGTGGTAGAATATTTTATTTTATAAGCGATTTGGGATCTCATATAAATAAAATATGATAATTAAACATTTCAGCGACCAGTCGACCGCACGTTCACAACGCTCTGGAATCTAAACAAGCGAGTCTCGTTTAAAATCGTCTGCATACCCTTATGAATTATTCATCCCTCTAACCGCGAAGTGTACAGCTGGTGTGCATTGCGAATATATCTAGTTGTTTAGTGTAATTAAAAAATCCCCATAAAACTAGTAATGTAGTATGCATGTCTATTGTCTAGTATGCATATGCTTCCAAATTTTTGAATTAGTTGGATATTGGTACTCCACGTTGGAAATGTAACAAAGCGTGATTTTGAAAGTATTTAATCAACTATCAGAACCTACGCCTGGCTATAAGCGCAGACCGCGATAAATCAATATCAAGTTGAGATAAAATATCTGACTGATATTTTACTTACCCCCATCTGCGTACGTCTCAGTACCGTAACCATCTTGTAATCCATTGCTCCACGTTCCTTCGTATTTTGCTCTAGTCGTAGTACTGCACCTCACACCATACCTTCCTTTAAAACCATGAGTCCATTCGCCTTTGTATTGCCACCTTCCCTTCGTCTCAATACCAAGACCGTGTCTTTTTCCTAAACTCCAATTACCGTCGTAGGTGTTCCCACTGGGCCATGTGTACACCCCAATAACCTCAAACCCATGGTTCCAAGATCCAGCAAATTCGCCTTGTCCTTTTGGTCCTGTACAAATGCCATGACCATGAGCCCGTCCCGACTCCCAGCCCCCGCAGTATGTTCCACCATCGTCAAAATCGAAACGTCCACCACTCTGATTCATGTTACGTATTCGTCCGAGCCGAAGATGAGTCTGAAATGAAGGCCGGAGTTGTATTAGTATGGCGTTAGCTTTGTTCACTATACCGCGAGTTTTCTAAACTTAGCTATTTAATATCTTGATTCGCATGGTACCAAAATAGAACGATTGTTACAGACATGCTAATTATAATATACCATATGGCAAACCATAACAATGCTATTTTTATCTGAATGGAATCAATAAATGCTATCATTCTGTGGGGTTTTCGAGTCTCATAAAAAGATGGCCAGGAAAATCTAAAGCCATTAATTTGCACTGAAACTTACGAAAGTCTAATGGGCGAATTCGAGTCTACATCACTTCACTCTACCAAGAGTTGTATCTATTTACAAAACAACGAAAGAGTTTATCGTTTTCACATTGAGATGTACATTGAAGTATATATATGTAGATATAAGAAATCTCACGTATTCCTATCTCTGACATCAGTATTTATTTACATTGAGTTTACACTTCTACAATGATGAATATACAAGTTATCCTCAACTCCTCAGCAGAAATTATGGAGCATCTGATATCAACAACATACTAACACACATAAGAGTAATACATATAAGAAGAAAGAAAAATCCGTGAAACAGTTTTCTACACGAAGGATTGACATTTACCCTGATCTGGCGACCTTCACGCGATTACTGATGAGTAACGCAGCTGTACCGTGCTGGATATCCTATCTGCTCTACGGCAGGCCGCATGCATTCCCTCTATTTTCGGAACGACGTCATCGTGTCTGTCGACTGCGCTGCGACACGGTGATAAGAGTGAGTTCACTCGCGCTTTGTGACTTCTGTAGAATTTCACGCCTTCTATCAATATTAATGTTTTTTGCAGTTGTTTATGTGTTAGTTAGTAGTGTGCAGTTCAATAAAAAATAACTTTGTAAAATGAATAAAGGGCGTTTAGCAATCAAAGAGGTGAAAAAGAGTTTATAGCTTTTACCAGGTTACAATTTGTGTCAACGCCAAGGAGAACAATATTAGAATATGTATTCGAGGACCAAATCCTTCCAAGTACATCGATGTAATTGAGACGATTATTATTTCTTATACAATTTGCCCAGTGCAAAGCCTGGCAGCAGTTCAAATCAAATCAGTGCTTTCAGAAAAACAGCAACCCATCATCAATGAGAATGAGTTTACAGTTTTCATATCAATCGTGAACCAAAAATACAAGAGCAAATATATATATGTGAGATGCTAAAGGCGACAATGCAAAGCGTCTCCTATTTTGGCTACTGAAATTGTCTTAGGAACAATTGGACCATCATTTATTGAAGCCGCGACATGGGCAGATCTGGTCAGCATGCATACTTGATTAGCTGTTTATTACTATCGCGTTACCAACATCGATATATACCGTGTTCCCCCGAAAATAAGACTGGGTCTTATTTCAAATATCTTTCGAAAATTAACACTAGGGCTTATTTTCGGGAGATGTCTTATATTTTTATTTTTTAAAAACAAAATTACACAGTAGAGAATTACCGTTTTCCCCGAAAATAGGATCTACCCTGAAAATGAGACTTAGTCTGAATTTTAAAAATGATTTTAATATAAGCTCTTCCCTTTAAAATAAGACCTAGGCAATAACGCCATGTTTATTTCGACCTAGTCGATAGCAAGAAATCTCTCCTATACGTTTTAAATGATTGATAATTTATGTTTTGCAGTTGTTTTGAATAAAAACGTGTTGTTGATAAGTAAATGGATATATATCAGTTTTCATATTTCGTATATTTGAAAATCTCGTAATTCTCCACTTTTTAATTTTGTTTTTGATGAATAAAAATATAGGACATCCCCCGAAAATGAGCCCTAGTGTTATTTTTCGTAAAAAATAAACAAGACAATGAAAATAAGACAATGTCTTATTTTCGGGGAAACATGGCGGAAGATTTTCTCATATACAAAATATGAAAACCGATATCCATTTACTTATAAATAACATGTTTTTATTCAGAATAAGTGAAAAATATAGATTATAATCATTTGAAACGTGTAGTAGAGATTTTTTTGCTATTGACTAAGTCAAAAAAAAATTGCGGTTTTGACTAGGGCATATATTAAAATCATTTTAAAAATCCAGGTTAGGTCTTATTTTCGGAGAAACACGATATATACAATTGTTTATCAAATGTATCTTAGTGGCTCCCGACTGATTTGTTACCGGCAATTTCTTTGTAGCGGATTGATCCTTGGTTGATTATTGAAACTATCGATAATGCGATTTTCAAAATGATAGTTTCCATATTTATTTCGCCTCTCTTTCGGTTATCAGGTTCGGATGCATAGATTTCAATATTCAGATTTCATTTCAAATTTAGAAACAACACCAGTACAGCCGGTTCGCACCGTTTCTATAGAAAACCGTCTCGCGGAATTTTATGAGATCAGCGAACCGGTTAAAATTACTGAAAAAAACATGACTTTTTGTAACAGAACCGGCTGAAAAATATGACTTTTGATAAATATGATGAAACTGGCTGACAAAAAATGTGAATCCCATCACTGAACAATATCTTTTTCATAATTCCAACTTCAGTAACCCCATGTGTTACGATAGTCGATTCTCCAAATATTTGTTTCATATGCAAAGATGTGAAACGCCCCACGAAGCAAGAAAACCTGAAAAGGCTTAATGCTTCGTTGTCCTGCATAACATAACGTATGGAATTTTTATCCATTATATAATGTTATCAATATTTGTAAAATTACACCGTTAGTAAGTCTGTCATAATTTTTGAAAACTAAAAAGGCATCAGCATGATTTACATTTTCTGACGCCCTGAAATATAGCAATTGTAATAATTTTATCACTCGCCGAAAATAGGATTTCAGAGTGAAATTTATACTCTGCTAAATGTACGGGGAACATGTGACGGCTCGAAGATATAATTGTCCGAGCGAACGAATGGATAATCATCTCTAGAATCCGGAAAAAAAAATTGTTGCAGCAATGTTCGAGATTGGAAGCAATCTAATTTGTTGCATAATACGATAGATAAAATTCATTGTTTCTTCTTTTAGGCGAGAATAGCTAATATTATCAAAAGTTACCTTGGCAACTAATAAAATGGAATGTGCAGTTTATTCATACACTATATGGTCGCATAATAATGAACATTCTTGCAAAGATGGATACGGATTTACAGTAAGATATCTTTTTGTGAATAAACGACGCCGATCACACTCACTTCAATTCACAAGTGGAATGTAAACAAAAGAAGAATTGTACACAGGCAATACCTTTTGTTAAGCACCGAAGCGTGAAGGTACATCTGGTATACGGTCCTTAGTTACAGGTACAGGGAGGGAACCGCGAAAGTGACAGCCATAAAAATCTAGTGAGGGCCCAGTCAAAATGGAGGAAGAGGAAATTGATATCACGAAAGTTGTAGTTCAAAAAGGGGTTTTACCTCTTTCAGCCCAAAGTGCATTTTCTGCAATACCGACCAGCAGGCACGAGTCACGTCAACTGACTTATTTCAACAACGAGAAAATAGTGAGTAACAAATTTCTGGTCAGATTTACCAGTTCGTACTATTGGCTTCAAATTAGAACTTTACATCAAATTTTGTTTACCCGTTCTCGGTTGGCCAAGTATTAGATTATATTGCCCCGGTAATGCGTTTTACTGATCTCATTTATAAATACCCTTGGCAGCAAATTTATAATTAAATAGACTAAATAGAGTATCTTTTGTTTTTCTTCCGTAAAATCTGTTGTGGAAATTCCTACCAGCCGTGGACGGCTATAAAATTTTAGACTTTGGTCTCAATATAAAAATCACATCACCAATTATACATATATATTATATATCATTGTTCTGTTTAAGCAAATATAATTGTTGCAGTCGTGTTAGTTGAAGACAAGTGACGATTTAAACATTATATTCTGATACTCTCCATAAATATGGGCAAATTCAATCTGCAGAAACAGATCACATTCTTGGGCAATCAGTAATTATCTGTAACACCTCACTTCTGCGCCCATTAAAAACTATTCATTTTAGATATTCCATTGGTTACACGGATCCACATCATATTCTTATGCCCAGTCACACATGCACTATGATTTTTCTGTAATGCCAAGTTGTTGATGAACTTTGATTACAGTTTTGACAAATGCAATTTCACGTAACTCTCGGCCACATTTTTAGAAATACTAATAACAACTGCTTGCGACAGATTGTTTTACCGTTTAGGAACGAAGCAACTCCATTTATGATAGACTTTTCAAAGCAGAAAGATCATATAACAACAAACTGCACAGAGACGACAGAGAGCATGCGAAAAGCAGAGGATTGACAGTAAATAATGAGGTAGTATAGGCCCTACTGGTTTCATGTTTATTATATTATATCATTTCAATTCTATAATTACATATTGTTGTGCCTTGGGTATTACCAAATCACCAGTAGACAGTAACAATGCAGTTTATAATACGACAAGCAATACGTTTACGAAGCCTAATGCGAGGCCCTCACATTATCAAGAACGAACAACAATTACGCAGACAGATAAAAGTCAAGTAGATATTACGAGAAAACAAATAATACATCATAATCACAAATTTAGTCGGTGTTAGAAACAGGCTTGGGCGCAAATACAAATTCGATTATATGGCAAACGTGGCGTGTATACACTCTAAATCATTTTAGCCTGGTAATATCTCATGTCTTAGGAAAGCACACATTTCAAACATCTCGGAGCATTCCATTCCAGCTTCGTTTTCGAAATGTTTAAAGTTGCATCAAAATAGTTTTAATTTCATTCAGGAATTCAACAAGCCATTCCCGAGTCTGATGTCTACGGCATACGGTCATAGACTCAAATATGCCGTGGATCACCCTGATCGAGCACACGTCAGAATAATAAAGACCAGAGAATTCTTGCGGAACAACGGAATTGTCAGTTCTGCGGAAGCTGGCTATGGAAACGTTGTTCCAACATGAAATTACTGTGCACATATATTTTAAAGTTGATTTATTATTTTAAAATTTAATTTAATTTTTGTATATATATTCACATAAATGCCAATCTATATTCACGGTAGAAATATAAAAAAAAAACATAATGAAGCTTTTGAGAATAAGCCTTTTTCATTTCTCCAAATACGTTTCTACTTTTGTACACAAGTCGCTCAGGAAAAGTTCAACGTCGTGCAAGCAGATTTCAAAGCAAAAGAGTCAACTATACCAACAAACCAGTCATTATTACCCCGTGTGACATTTTATGAAAGTGGCTTTTTACTATACTTAGAATCATGACGTGGGAAGTTAAATGTGCCCCATCTCTGTGCCTACTGTGTCTGTCTCCCGCGGTCTCTGATTATTTTTCGCACTTATCTCCATATGTGTTTTTGTAGAAAAACTAATAAAATAAGTAGAAGGATGGCTTTTGATTCGGTCAAAATTCACAATCAACACCGAGTTAAGAAAAGTTCGACTTCACGCTAAGAAAAACTTGACTTTAAGTATGTATGGGATCTCCGCCTCGGACTTTTTATGTTTAAATTTTCATCATTGACCTGCCAAACTGTTTGTTCAGCCTCTCTAGAATCATTCATGTTCGCTGATGAAACCGATGACTAACTAGAATAAAATCTGCTGAATGAGCTAGTTTTGCTTACCCACCAGGAACTCCGTTATTCACAAACAAGTCATCTCTTAACGAAGAAAAAATATAAATTTATGTTTAGCAATCTTAAAAAGAATAATTAAATGGCCTCATGTCACTTAATTGCATTCATATTCAAAAAAAATCTGAATTCAGATTTCTTGGAATCATTTTGAGGTATGATATTTCATTGAAATCTCGAACATTGAATGTTCGCAACTAAGTCAATGTGGGAATCAGAGTTTTAGAATGACTTAAAATTTGATAAATTAAAAAAAAAAGATTTTCCCAAGGGGATCGAGGGTAGGGAGGTAACAATGCGACTCATTTTGCACATTAGGTTTGGATATTGATAATACTCGAGAAATTACGGTATATATCTATTTTTTCGACGATTCGTTGTTTTTATCGATGTTTTTAACGAAAATTTATATCCTTAATAACTACAGTCGTAATTTCAGCAGCCACAAGAGGGCCTGAAAGAGAATGAAACATTTCGATGGTTCGGTTCGCTAATCGTCATTTGCTCACTCCTCTGCTGGAGTGTATATGCCTATCGGCTGCCAGGAAGCCAGAGTTTCAAATTAAAACATCGGAGTCTATTTTTATATGCGTGTGCATTAATGTTGTTTGAGTTCCAAATTGAAGCATCAGAGTCTATTTTTATATGTGTGTACATCAATGTTGTTTGAATTGTACTACACAGTGTATTCGTAATTCTACATGACAGCACTTTTGCAACACTTAAAAATTTATTCTGTATGGGTGTTTGTGTGTGTGAAGAATTTCGACGCAGCTCGCACTTATTTCAAACTCTGCCTTCTACAAAGTAAGATCAGTGATATTTCTATTCGCACGCCTTGTTCGTGTTTTGTTCCAATATGCGAACATGTTTCATGTTCAATAGACTACCACGTGACTCCATCTACATTGTCGGCAAAATGACCATTCTGCACGTTATGATTCTTATATTATTTACTGCTTTTGCTGCACAATTAAGACAAGAGAGCTATGCTCTCATAGGATTAAAAGTAGTAGTTAATAAGTAAAAATAATAGCCATCTACAGACAACAACTATGTTTAATCATTGAAAGCAATAGATCAGGTAATTTAAGAGAAACGCGATTTTTTTACGTAACTGCTGGTTGGTTACGACTTCTTCCGTCATCAAGTCCATGCATCTGAAACAAATAACTGGCTATCTAATGCCATTCCCGACATGGACCAGACGAGAGCGGCCGTGGTTAGCCATATGATTGGACCGTCTTATTCGGCTTCCTCCTATCCTATGCAATCCGTCACATCATAGATATATTTATATTTCCAGTTCAGTGTTCACGGTAGACTCCCCGTACCGATATGAGATATCAACTTACGCGAAAGTGGAACCGCCAGAAGATGCGCAATTTTTAATTTTGATGGCGTCATCGCACACACACACATAAAAAAAATTCCATAGAGACGAAAAAAAATTTAGGAAATGAATAAAAGTAAAAGCTTTTTAGCGAGAAATACAACGCATAAGCACCGAAAATTGGCAAAGCAATTGGTCCAAGCAATGCGCATTCCCTAGTGCATTTTATAGTGTTTGTGAATGTCCCAAACATTGTATATGTTTATATAAAATGCTACATCCTATTTTACATGCTAAACCAAACTTGCATTTATATTAATCTAATACAGAGAAATCAGATGGTCCTAATTGGACCGAATAGATATTTTATTCCTAGTGTCCTATAATAAACAAGTCATTATGTAGCCCACAGTAATCAGCATTTTAAGTTCTATTCTTTATTCAAAAAAATTTATTCTTATTCGCATTGCTTGTTCATTGAGTCTCAAATTCAATTTTTTTTTATATCCCGAGTACAAAACATCTCTATATATTATATTTAAACCAATATTCTCTTATTGATTCTTCGTTCAACTGTGTAATGAGCATAAAGGCTTCTCCAAACAAAATCCAGTGCAAATTTCACTTTCCGGTACTTAACTTTCAGTTGTTTCATTCTGCTTGCCCATCATTAATTCATAGTTCGAAACCAGCATTTTCATTTAAACAATTTTCATTTAAACATAGTGAGAATCAAAAATGTTGAACCTGTGAACTATTTATTCATGTATTTGGTATTGGGTTGTAACAGACTCCGATGATCTTATCGGTCGTATCGTTACCACCCTGTCATATACCGAAAACTTTGAATTCCTATTTTGTATATATGTGTGTGATCGTTTTCTGGTTTGTCGAAAGCCTGAAAGCAATGAACTCTCTCTCTCATGTGGATGGTTAAAGAGAAGCAAGTTAAAGGGAGATGGTTCATTTCGTGTCCAATCAGAGAAAGCAAAATGGCATACTAATAAGGTGATCAACAATAACATAATATCGAAATGATCCATATGTGCACTTTTTTCATATGTGTATTTTGTGTTCACTAACAAAACGATCCATATCGGTAGTTCCATCTTCCATGTCGTGTCAAATACTGTAATTAGTATTGGGCGGACAGAAGAGGGCGCCAGCAAAAATGTTCGAAATCTTCTGCCGCTCGTCGGACCAAGCTAGCAGCACTTTCAGCCAGAATATTTTTACACATTGCATATAGGTTCCACGCGCATATAGTGTTCACTTATAGGTAAATATGAAAATTGAAAATGCTGATCAAAATATAATATTGTCACGAAAATAGATGAAAAATCTTTAAACTGAATGAATACATTAAATTTAACAAGAAAATAGTGTTCAAAAATAGACTAACTAAGCGAAAAATGAATTTTCAGGTATTCCGCAAATACAAAGTTTCGGAAAAATTATCCTTTTCGGAACCTCGATTCCTCGAAAACCGCCAATAAAGGCAGCACCACGACACATTTGGAGAAAAGCAGATACCATATTAAATTCAATTTTTCTATAACAGAACAAGTAGCAGTACGTTTTGGCTTGACCATACTATATTACCAAACATATCGTGTAATCTAAATTTCAATAACCGGCATGGACGTAACAAATTTAAAATTGATTTTGTATTTCAACTAATTTGCTAGATAATGGATAAAATATCATTTTTCTTTTTTGTCACACATTAATACTGTACATCTTTTAAACTTGGAATACGTTGCGGGAAGTATAAAACAGCAAAAAGAATCATTTGCGACTCCTAGTGGGATTCTGTCCTGGATTACAAAAAATTATCGTTTTTAAAATGGCGATTTTTCGAAAACCGCCATTAAAGGCAGCACTACGACATATTCGGATAAAAGCACATACATTATAGATTCGATTTTATTATGCCAGAACAGTAGCAGCACGTTTTGACTTGGCCATATATAATACCAGAAATAGCGTATATTCCTCGATTTTTAAAACAAAGGTACGTAACATATTAAAAAAGGGTTTGTATTTCAACTAAAGTTGCAGGATAATTGATCAATATCTTTTTCTCTTTGTCGCACATCAATACTGTACGTCTATTAAAGTTAGAATAAGTTTCAGAAAGTATAAAGTAATAATAAAAATTTTGCGCACCCCCTTGAATTAGTTTGAGAATTTCGAAAATTATCGTTTTTGGATTAGTGATTTCTCAAAAACCGCCAATAAAGGCAGCATCACGACACATTCAGAGAAAAGCACATACCTTATAGATTCAATTTTATTATGTCAGAACGGTAGCAGAACGTTTTGACTTTGCCATATATAATACCAAACATAGCGTATACTCTTCAATTTTATGAACAATGTGGACGAAACAAATTTAAAAAGGAATTGTATGTCAACTAAATTTGCTGAACAATTGATAAAATATATATTTTTCTCTTTGTCACACATTAATACTGTACGTCTATTAAACTTAGAATGAGTTGCAGAAGAAAAGTATAAAATACCAAAAAAATATTTTACGCCCTCTCGTGGATTCTTTTCAAAATTTCGAAAAATTATCGATTTTGGAAGGGGAATTTCTCGAAAACCGCCAATAAAGGCAGCACTACGACACATTCGGAAAAAAGCAAATACCTTTTAGATTCGACTTCACTATACCATAACAGTAGCAGCACGTTTTGACTTGGCCATTTATAATACCAAACATAGCGTATATCTCAATATTTGAATAGCGTAGATGTTACATATTTTGAAAAGGTTTGGTATTTCAAATAAACTCACCTAATATCGTAATATTCCGTTTTCTTACTTTTTCAAACACCGATACTGTGTGTTAATTAAACTTGGAATAAGATGCAAATTGTATGAAAAAGTGAAAAATGTCTTACAACCTATATATAATTTTTTCAATTTCCCAAGCATGCCGTTTTTGGAGTGACGATTTCTCGGACAATGGCCAATAAAGGCAGCAATACGACACTTTTGGAGAATAGCAGATACGTTAAAGATTCGATTTCACCAAACCAGAACAGTAGCAGCACGTTTTGATCTGGCCATATTTAATACTAAACATAGCATATCATTTTCAATTTTATCAACTATGTATATGTAACATATTTAAAAACGGTTAAGTATTTCAACTAAATTTCATCAAACACTTTTCTCTCTTGGTCATACATCAAAA